ATAATCATTTACTATGTGTCACCTGTCTCCAGACATGATGGAAGTGGCATTGTGATCTAAAACTGTATTGTTAATCAGTAACTAAAGATGTGTGATCTGTCCCCTCACACATACCCATGAAGATTGTATTTAAGCTAAATCTGTAAAGCAATAAAGCACTCCCGATTGACTATCTTGAGTCCCCTACCATCTTTAATTCTCTGTCCACCTCTGAGGACCCTGTTCATGCAGGGCTGCTTCCTGCAGTCTTTGATTTTGGAGAGTTTGATTATGATATGTCATAGTGATTTTCTTTTGGGGTCTATCCTGCCTTGGGTTTACTCAGTTTATTGAATGCTTATCTTCTCGTCTTTCATTATGTTTGGGAGCTTTTCTTCCAGCAGCTCTTTGACTATCTTTTCTGTGTTTTTATTTGTATCTTCTTATTCTGGAATTCTAATCACCCATTGGTTATTCCTCTTCATATTGTCCCACATGAATTTTAGGTTTTCTTTGGATTTTTTCATTCTTTTTTTCTGATAATACTTCTAGCTTACTAGTATTGAGAGATTCATCTTCAAGCTCACTGATTCTGACTTCCATTGATTCAAATACACTTCTTTGCCATTTCAGTGTATTGTCCATTTCTGAAGTCTTAGTATTAATCTTCTGAATTTCTGTTGCAAGCTTTGTATTGTGATGGTGCTGTGTTTGTATTAAATTGATGAATGTATGTTGGTGTATTCTTAGGAACTCACCAACTGCCTTCTGGTGGGTGTGATCAAAAGATTAGCTTGTGCACCATTCTCTGTTTGCTCTTCATGTAGTTCAGTTCAGGATGAATTTAGCTGATGCTGGTTGTTGTCATTGATCCAGTGTATAGCAGCTGATATTGACTCTAGCCTAATTGATAGGGTTGAAAAGTGTATGGCTGTGGTTGGGCTATATGGCCATAGTTGCTGTCTCCTGTTGGGTGAGGCAAGAAAAATTAACATGCCCAGAAGAGAGAAGAAAAACAATCAAACAAAACAAAACAAAAACAGGAAACAACAGAAGAAAACTAAGCATAATGCTTTTGCGCCACCTACTGGCCTCTTGCCTTCACATTGTTGTTGTTGAGTGCCGTGGAGTTGCTGCCTTCACATACATACACCTGAGAAATTTCAAGATGGTCCCATTGTGCCTCTCTGACCTATAACCAGTTTTTTCTTTCTTTATTTCCCTTTTTCTCTACCCCACAAGTCCATTCAGCCACTTTTAGTGAGAGCTAGCCCAGGGCTGGCCAGGGTTGAGTTGGAGCAGGGTTATTGCTGCTGTCTCCTCTCTCCCCCCAGCCCCCACTTTAATTATGAATACAGCCATAGGTCCACACAGGACCTTCCCTGGGGGTATCCACTTATACACGTCTCCTATCTGGTCACGGGGGGCGGGGGTACAAGGAACTACAAATGAAAAGAGAAGAAAAAAAAATCATACTTGTGTCTCTGTGAGTCATTGGCAGGCTTCTACAACATGAATGTTTTCTTGTCTCTCAATCCGCTCACACATGCACAAAATGGCTGCATCAGGTACCATTGGCCACCCCAAATCAGAAGTCGCCTCCTTTCTTTCTATGTCTGTTTAACTCTCTCTCCCAGTAAGGACTCGATCTACTTGTTTATCCCTTTATCTTAAGCTCAGCATTCCAGAACCATCCTCTGAATCTGTCTTGTCCAGCTTTCCATATCTTTGCTGCAGAGGGTCCTCACAGCCTTTCTGCCTAGTCTGCCATCTTGCCCCACCTCCTCATTTTCATCACTTTAAAAAGTAACCCTTACCCATGATGCTTTAAGTAAAGTCAAAACATTCACCAAGATATCAGGGTTCATTGCAGTATTATTCACAATAGCCAAAAGGTGGAAGTAATACAAGTGTTCATTAGTAGATGAATGGATAAACAAAATGTGGTGTATCCATATAATGTACTACTATTTTCAGTCATAAAGTAGAATGTATTTCTGATACATGTTAAATCACTGATGAATCTTGAAAACATAAAACTAAGTGAAATAAGTCATATGAAAAAGGACAAATATTTTATGATTCCACTTACATGAAATATCTAAAATAGGTAAATACATAGAGACCAAAGTTTATTAGGGGATGCCAGGGACTCAGGGGAGTAACAAATGAGGAATTCCTGCTTAAGGGGAACTAAATGTGTTTGGGGTAATAGGAAACTTTGGGAAATGGATAATGGTGATGATTACACAACACAGTAAATGTAAATCTTGTCACTAATTGTACACGTAAAAATGGTTCAAATGGAAAATGTTTTGGTTTGTGTATTTTATCACAATAAAAATACTTTTAATCTTAAAACTAGAAAAAGAATGAACGAAAGAAACCCATACCAATTAGCAGTCACCACCTGTGATGAAATGAGTTCCTTTATACCATCTTTTGCCTTGGTTCTTTGGACAAGCAGCTTGAGAGCTTTTGCTCCTAAATCCTGAGGAGTTACAGCTACCCTGGTTGTCTACCCCAAGGGTTTGTTACTTCTGTTCAGGTTGATTGATATTTATTTCCTGAGGAAACGGTAAACAACTTGAGGTTTTATACTTTTTATCTGGCCCTGCCTGGGTTGCAACCTGCCCTGTTATTGTTCTATTTTACCCACCTTGCAGGGATTGGCCAATATACTGACTGAAATAAAATGATTATAGCCTACAATGCAAATGAAATGCTTATGGCTTACTGAGAGGGGATTAGTCATTTGTGGCCCTGATGGTAGGGCCATGCCATGAAATTGATGATGATTTTGCTTATACATGCAACCAAGCCCACAGAAACTGACAGGCAGAATAGAAGGAAGAAAGGAGAAAAGGCATGAAAGATCTATCATGAGGCAAGAAGCTTCATAAAAGTGACGTACAAGTTAAGGGCTGTAATGCATAACAGTGAGAGGCCTGGAAGAGACCCTGTGGTAGAGTTGGTGGTGATGAAAGAAAACTGCTACAAGGAATTCAGCTAAGAGAGATGAACAAAACTGCCACACAGGGTTCAGTGGCAGTGGATAGGCCAATGGCAGGGAGGTCAAAGGTAGAGGCCATTCCTGAGGGGCTGAGAGGTGGCCTGCATAGCTGAGAGGGAGTATGCATACAGTGAGAAGGGCATGTTGTTTTCAGGGTTGAGAGTTGTTGAGAGAAGTGTCCTGCACTGAAACCTAGTCCTGATCCAGAATTGTATGGAGCCTGTTGATCCTGATCCAAAGTTATATTACTTCCTTAATAAACCACTTAATTGTAAGTATGGAGTTCTGAGTAGCTAATATAATGGATTATTGAATCTAGAAGAGAAGTAGAATTTATTCAATGGCTATTAACAAGTGGGTATGGTGTGGTGCTCTGGGTTAATGCGCTGGACTGCAAAGTCACTTTGCTAGGTCGGCGGTTCAAGCTCACCAGCTTCTCCTTGGAAAGTCTATACAGGGTTGCTATAGGTTGGAATTGACTTGACGGCACTTAACATAACACGAAGGAGTGAAGTTTTACTAAAGGTAATACAGAAACAGCTGCAAACATGCATTAACAGAGGACTTCCAAAGGTTCAAGCTGGATTCAGAATAGGACGTGGAACATGGGATATCATTGCTGACATCAGATGGATCTAGGCTGAAAACAGAGACTATCAGAAGGATGTTTACCTGTGCTTTATTGACTATGCAAAGGCTTTCGATTGTGTGGATCATGACAAGCTATGGACAACATTGCAAATTAAAAGTATTCTGGAACACTTAATTGTGTTCATGAAGAACCTGTACGTATACCAAGAGGCAGTTGTTCGAATAGAACACGGGAACACCAAATGGTTTAAAATTAGGAAAGGTGTGCAACAGTGTTGTATTCTTTCACCAAAATTATTCAACCTGTATTGTTGTTTTTGTTGTGAAAGCTTGACAGTGCATAAAAAGACCGTAAAGGAATTGATATTTTTGAGTTACGGTGTTGGAGGAGAATATTGAAAGTGCTATGAGCTGCCAAAAGAACCAACAGATACATCTATGTTGGAAGAAGTGCAACCAGAGTGCTCCTTTAGAGGCCAGGATGGCCAAACTTCATCTCTCATACTTCAGACATATTGTCAGGAGGAACCAATCAGTGGAGAAGGACATAATGTTTGGTAAGGTGGAAGGTCAGAGAAAAAGAGGAAGACCCCCCCTCCCCCCCAGTGAGATGGATTGGCCAAGTAGCAGCATCAATGGGCTCAAGCATGGCAACAATTGAGAGGTTGACCCAGGACCGGACAGTGTTTAGTTCTGCTGTGCATAGGGTTGCTATGAGTCAGTACCAACTCAATGGCACCTAACCACAACATGAAGGAATTTGTGAATGGTGCAGTTAGCACCTCAGCTGCTAACCAAAGGATCAGAGGTTTGGGTACACCCACAGGCATCTTGGAAGAAAAGCCAGGCAATCTGCTTTAGAAAACCGACCATTGAAAACCTCGTGGAGTGCAATTCTCCTCTGACACACATAGGTTCGCTCATGTGAATCACCAGCTCACATGGGAGTCAGAACCCTAGGGTGGCAGCCAGTGACAGGGAAAAGTCCCTTGTCCTGGAGCCTTCTTTGCTGCCCAGAGATCACCCTATAAATTGTAGTATCCCCTCTTTGACCCTTGGGGGCTGGGATTGGGTGGGAAATTGAAACTATAGACTTCCATTGGCATCACACTGGTGAAAGCAGCCCACAATACCCTATTCAAGCTCTATCATTCTCTGTCTTGTAACAACCATCCTTAACCAGGATTTAAAGTTTCTTTACTATTCGCCTTAGAAAACACGTCTGTTTCCATATGAGTTTAACTTTCTCTAAATGCCACCAACACCAAATGCTATATTTAGGTTGCAGAACCATATGCTTTAAATTCTCTGAAAATACCTCTGTGGACAAAGAAGTAAAAAACAGTCTGGCTCTACCCTTACATTAAACATCATGAGCCACCCCTGCCACCAGGAAATTGCCAACTAGGATACTTACACTTAGGGCGTGACTCCGTAGGTGTTCCTGTCGTGTGAACCTCTTGCCACAAGTCTCACATGGGTAGGGTCGTTCACCCGTGTGTGAGCGGATGTGTCGCTTAAGGATGCCCTTCTGTTTGGCAGTGTAAGAGCAGAAAGGACACTTGTGGAGCTTGATAGGGACCACCAACACATTACCTAGGGAGCCAAACAAATTGATTTAGCTCTTCTGTGAGTGGATGGATGGGATCCAGAGCCAGGGAATTGGACCATCCCAGATCAAGAAGATACCAACTCTACTTCCAGCTGATAACAGGATCTTGTGTATGAATTCTAACTCCGCCTGGCTCCCAACCAGCCAGATGGTAACACAGGTTTCTGATATTCCAAGGAATGCAATGATTTTCAAACAGTTTTGACTATGACCCACAGTTAGAAGCACAGCTTATACTACAACCTCAGAACACACAAGCCTTCATGTGAACACCTAGGGAAAGCGTCACAAAACAATACTCACACTGATAGTTGCTATTCTATTTCATTTCATTTTAAGAAAATGTTGGTTGTGACACACTGAACGGTTTTCATGACTCTCAAAAGTTTGGAAAACTCTGTGTTAAGATAGATCACATTGATGGACCAGGATTTATGCTTTCTTTAACAGTAGTTCTTAACCCTATCTTGTAGGCATGTTTAGGGTTTTCTATGAGGCAGACACAAAATTTGGGGGATTCATATTAATTATATGCATCTGAAATCATCAAATATCCAGGAATTCACTAAAATCTTTTCCCAGTTCTTTTCTTGCTTTGTTCATACAATCTTTAATTCTCCTTTGCTTCAGACACCTTTCTCTGTTTTGTAAGCTGGTAAACTCCTATTCATCCTTTAAAACCTTGCTCAGTGTTTCTCTTCTGTGAAATCTTCTTTGCTTTCCTAGAGAGACTGCTTCACTTTCTTGTGATGACTTCCATCATTTTCACCCATCTGTATTAAAACCATTTATTTCAAATTTCCTGGATATACCCTTATTGTTATATTCCAAGATTTGTTCCCTCTATCCATGCTTTCCCACCACTTGTCTGTCAATTTGTCATACTACTGAAGCTTGTGTGTTGCTGTGATGCTAGAAACTATGTCACCAGTATTTTAAATAACAGCAGGGTCACCCATGGTGGACAGGTTTCAGAGGACCTCAAAGACCAGGAAGAAGGAGAAGCAATCTACTTAAGAATTTTTAGCTACTGAAAATCTTATGAATAGCAGTAGAACATTGTCAGATATAGTGCAAGAAGATGAAATATGATGACTAACACAAGAATATTGTCAGATATAGTGTCAGAAGATGAGCCCCCCAGGTTGAAAGACATTCAAAATACGACTGTGGAAGAGCTGCCTCCTTAAAGTAGAGTTGATCATGATGACATAAATGGAGTAAAGCTTTCGAGACCTTCATTTGCTGATGGGGTACAACTCAAAATGAAAGGAAAAAGCTGTAAACATCCATTAATAATCAGAGCATAAAATGTACTAAGTATGAATCTGGAAAAGTTGGAAGTTATCAAAATGAAATGGAATGCATAAGCATCCATATCCTAGGCATTAGTAAGCTGAAATGCATGGGTATTGGCCATTTTGAATCTGACAATCCTATGGTCTATTATAATGAGAGCGGCAAATTGCAGTGTAATGGCATCTCATTTATCATCAAAAATAACATTATAAGATTTATCTTGAAGTACAATGCTGTCTGTGATCCATATGCCTACAAGGAAGACAGGTTAATACAAATATTATTCAAATGTACACACCAATCACTAAAGCCAGTGATGATGAAACTGAAGAATCCTATTAATTTCTTCAGTCTGAAATTGATCAAACATGCAAACAAAATGTATTGATAATTATCAATTACTGGTGATTGAAATACAAAGGTGGAAAAAAAGAGGATCAACCTTTGGAAAATATGGCCTTGGTAGTAGAAATGATGCTAGAGATTGTATGAGAGAATTCTGTAAGACCAATGACTTCTTCACTGTAAATGCCATATTAAAATAACATAAAAGATGACTTTACACATAGACCGCACCAAATGGAAAACGCCAAAATCAAATTGACTACATCTGCAGAAAGAGACAGTGGAATAGCTCCATATCATCAGCCAAATCAAGGCCAGGGCAGATTGTGGGGTAACACTATCAACTGCTCATATGCAAGTTCAGGCTGAACCTGAAGAAAATTAAAACAAGTCCATGAGAGCCAAAATATGACTTTGAACATATCCCACTTGAATTTAGAGATCATCTTAAGAACAGATTTGATGAATCAGATACAAATGACTGGAGACCAGAACAGTTGTGGAATGACAACAATAATATCACACAGGAAGAAAGCAAAAGACCATTAAGAAAACAAGAAAGAAGGAAAAGACCAAAATGAATGTCCAAGAAGACACCAAAAAGTACTCTCTAGTATAAAATACTAAAGCGAATGGAAGAAATGAGGAGGTAAAAGAGCTGAAGAGAAAATTTCAAAGGGCAGCTCGAAAAGACAAAGTCAAGTATTGTAATAAAATGTGCAAAGACCTGGAGCTAGAAAACCAAAGGGAAGAATAGCCTGAGCATTTCTCAAGTTGAGAGAACTGAAGCAAAAATTCAAGCCTTGATTTACAGTACTGAAGAATTCTATGAACAAAATATTAAATGATACAGAAAGCATCAAAAGATGATGGAAGGAATACACCGAATCACTGTACACTCCCCAAAATGGCCAATTTCAACCATTTTAAGAGGTAGCATATGATCAAGAGTCAATGATACTGTAATCCTACTCCCTCTTTGTACAGGGTTGATAGGGATGGGCAACTTAGACATTGGCTACCTAAAATGGGGAGGCTATAAAGGCACAAAGTGACTGGCTTACAAGTTTTCAAGAGGGAGTTTAGTTTCAGAGTGTGCAGGAGAAGGTAGAATCCCCACTGAATAGTTTTCATCTTGTCTAGATGGGTCTGGTGAAAGGAGATGGGGATAAGATTCTTATGATTCAACAGTGAGTAATTGTTATCATGACTAATTGTGATGGTCACAACTGTAAATGCAGAAGTTTTGTTTCAAAAAGGGGGGAGTGGTTAATCTTACAGTCCAGGAACAGAGGACCCTAGGACCATCAAGGGAGAAGAGCATGAAAAGAATGTGGGACTCTATCCAGAGAAGCAGCAACATGAGAGATGGAGGCAGAGATGATGACATGGAGAAATAGATCAGCCGAGGACTCTAGACTCATGGAAAGCGAAAGGCTATATGCTGGCAGCCAGAAGGCAGGTTTGCAGAATGGCCTCCTTTGGTTGCTTAAATGATTATATATTCCTGAGTGTTTTTGTATACATCCCCTGAAAAAAAAAACAGTGGGTATAGAAGCAAATGCTGTTGAATGATGATACATGGAGGAGATTGTAATCACTGCAATGAAATGATGAGTGTAAGACCAGTGTTCTCCCATGCAAACTATCACTCAATCCACAATAAAAAACTTTTAAAAAATTTACAGGAGTCAATGATTCTGAAGGAAGAAGTCCAAGGTGCACTGAAGGCCTTGGTTCTGGGAATTGATGGCATACAAATAGAAATCTTTCAACATATGGATGCAGCTCAGGAGGCACTCACTCATCTATGCTAAGAAATTTGGGAGACAGCTACCTGGCCAACTGATTGGAAGAGATCATTATTTTTGCCCATTCCAAAGAGACGCGACACAACACAATGCAGAAATCAGAGGACAATATCATTAATATTGCATGCAAGTAAAATTTTGCTAAAGATAATTTTTAAATGGCTGAAGCCATACATCAACAGAGAACTGCCAGAGGTTCTAGCCAGATTCAGACAAGGACATGGAATGAGGGACATAATTGCTGACTTCAGACGGATCTTGGCTGAAAGCAGAGAGTACCAGAAAGATGATTACCTGTATTTTATTGACTATGCAAAGGCTTTCAACTGTGTGGATCATGACAAGTTATGGACAACATTGTGGATAATGAGTATTCTGGAATATTTAATTGTGCTCACAAGGAACCTGTACATAGACAAAGAGTCAGTCATTCAAACCGAACAAGGGGACACTAAATGGCTTAAAATTAAGAAAGGTGTGTGCCAGGGTTGTATTCTTTCACCATGGTTATTCAGTCTGTATGCTGAGCATATAATCCGAGAAGCTGAATTAAATGAAGAAAAATATGGCATCAGGGTTGGAGAAAGACTCATTAACAACCTGTGATAT